TGAAAGAAATCCCGTATAAGCTCGTACGTACCTTGTCAATTGACTCAATGCCAATTCTTCCCCACATACATAGTAAAAGGAATCGATGGCTGAAGCAGTCCCATGGAACCGATCTTATTGTTCCAGTTGGTGGTACCCGATGTCGGTCACCTGATTGGCTTCCAGGTTGCTGAGTGCTCGAGTGCTTACTCCCCCAACTCCCATCGGCAAGAAATTACCGTGGTAATTTTGGTCCATTGGCGGGAGGTAATAATAAATTAATTATTTGAGGAAGAAAAAGAACAGGAACCACTCTAGACTGCGCACGCGCGGATCAAGCAAGCAATGCGACCATACGTCATTGCATCTCACAGTCCATTCGGCTTATGATAAACCATTCCCGAGTGGCTAAAATTCGGCGTAACCGGGCAAGGACTGTCAAGAAAAGGGGCATGGATAGGCAGGACAGCCAGAGAGCTCGGAGAAAGAGAGAAGTAGGCAAAGGGAGGCGAAAAAGGCCCAAAGGGAAAAGAAGGGCGCTAATTGATATCCCAGGCCGACCTTTGATTGGCTCGATGGGATCTGCTGAGACTCAGGTCTCTGCATGGACAAGGTTGGGAAAAGTGGTGCGACATCAGGCACCAAATGAGATCGTTGGAGGGCGCCATGATAGCCTTACCGTTCTACAAGGCCAGAGCAGTCGACATCTGTCAGGTACGGAAAGCCATTGCAGATGCCGGGAGGCTTCTGCCGTGTTCTTAATCGCATATGTAACGTGTGCCAGGTACTTTGCAGAAGCGAAGTCTCACTGCGACGGCTTGCATTGTTCTTTGCTCGTCTAGCCAGGTTGGGAGGTAGATTAAATCAAGTACTGTTGTATGAGTATTTTTTTCCGCTTCCATCGCCCGAATCTGTCCGCCCAACCTCCCCCAGGTTATAAGCAGCCACCCACGTCCCGACTGGAGATGCGCGCGATGGGTTCGTTAAAGGGAGGCGATTAAAGCCCGTTGGGACTTGAAACGGAAGTAATCCGAAGTCGCGGGAAAAAAAGATGATGACATCAGACAGGCAACTCCGCCGCCGCCGCCGCCGCCGCAGCGGTGAGTTGAGGGGGGAGGAGATCTGAGGGCCAAGGGTGGAGATTTGCGAGATTCTGAGGAAGGGTGCAGTGAACTAGTTCCAGTCCAACAAGACTACTGCAGCCGATGTTGCCCAGATTTGACTCAGTAAGAAAACCACCCCTCCTCTCTTCCCAAACTGGCAAGGGCAATGCAGGAGCTAAAATCTCGAGCCCGTATTCGCGCATCGTGGGGTCGTCATCACCCTCCAGGCTCTTTATTTTTGTGTCGGATTCAAGCAATCCGAGCATTTCTCAACTTGTCAGTTTGTGAATTCAACCGCAGAGCAGTTTCTTTGTTTCGCCCTTGCAGGGAAAGGGTGAGAGGTCGGCCAGCCCCAAGCCATGGCGGTTTGTGTGGAGGTATTCGGTCTGGACGACATCGGCGACATCCGCGGTACCCAGGATAAAAATGAAAGGGAAGGGATTGGAACGAATCGACGATGGGGAAGTCAGAAAGAAGCTGTTTGTTGCAAGACTTGGAAAGTATGTGCTGTTTGTACAGTACTCTGTAAGCTTGACCAGCTGCAGAGGAGGCTATCGGTGACAAATCGGATGAGAGCAAGCGGAGGGAAACAGATAGAAGGATATGCACTCCAATGCAGCCTCCACCAGCCCGGGGGATGGGAAGTCAACGTTTGTCGGTGCTTGATCGGTCAGCTGACCAGCGAAATCTCACCTCAGTTGCAGGCCACATGAGACCATTGGGGTACAGAACGTGTCTGAAGAAGAGGGGAGGAAAAGAGAAAGAGAGAGAGAGAGCATGGGCTCTCCACCATGCTTTGCCATGCTTTGCTCTAATTAATTGGATACAGCTCACCTACGGCGGAGCACTAAGTTATTTACTACTCTTCATAGCGAAGGGCAAGCGATCTCGCCACAACAGCCACCCCACTTCCCAAGAGCTCGCATGGAGCACATGGAGGATGACTGCGAAGTACGGAGAGAAGAAACACCAAGCTCTCCGATGGCGACATGTACTCCGGACCTGGGATTCCCGGGAACTAATATCGAGGACAGCGTCTTTTCCTGGCGCAGTCCCGCAGACCGCTTCTTTCTCGATAGTATATCCTGGTTCCCCAGGATTGTAAACCCTTCCCTGTCCTTCGAGTTCCCACCATCGTGCATAGCACCCTTTGTTTCCAAGGTACGGAGTACTCTTGTGATCAGTCCAAATGCACTTGAGTAGATCGAAGACAGGACACATGGAGGGGGCAAAAGCGCGCAGCCACATTTCTAGAACTCGATCTATATCTTGCATCATTGCTTTGGCTGCGCCCAGCAGAGAGGGAGACACAGAGAACCGCACAAGTAGTACTGTGAGGGTAGTATGAACAGTGGCAGCAGTAGTAGGTAGGTAGCATATGTATCAAGGTTGAAGCTCATCTCACCCCCGACCTGCTATCTGGCCCAAGATTTGTACAGAGATCAACCATAAAGTAACCACACCGCAACCAACACCGCAAACACAACTACAACTACAACATAAAATCCAAGCCCGAGTCCCAGAGCGTTTGTACTACAATGCACATCCACCATCGCATTTACCCAAAAGCAACCTCTAACCTACTAGCATAATCTCATGACAGTTATACATCGACCGGTCCAATGGCACCGACCTTACAAAGCCAACCCATGATTCTCCCTCTCCATCCCAAAGACCGAAACCAGATTCAAATGTTGTCACGAGCTTTACAGAACAATACTAGACTCCGGTAAATACCTTACCAACTTGATTTTCTTTCCCATATCAGATCCCAGTCCAGCATTTAACCTACCCTATCCACCAACTGACTAGCCTCCCCCACCCCATCTTCCTAGACTACTTACTCTTAACCCAGTCTCGAGCCCATTGATTGATCAGTTCAGATGATTATCTGTTATTCACTTTGGGTTTTTCCGGGCCAGGCCGCAAGACGCGAAAGAAAAATCAAAATTGACAATCGAATTGCAACACAAATCAAGGAGGAAAGAGAACAAACCCACCTACTCTGCTCCCTAACTACAGTACTACCTTACTGTACCTTCCCGGCGCGAAAATGGTATACAAACTCGACTAACAAGTGATCGTTGGGGTCGAACGTAGCGATTTTCTTTACATGTATAAACTTTTGAATGGATTCTGGGGCTTACAATCCTAGACTAGGAGGGATGTATGAAGCATGAGAACCGGAATAGACCTCCCTCTCAACCTCCACCTCCAATCCAAAGCATAAGAGCGGAATGCTTACTTTCTTCCCCCTCCCTACAAGACAGTACATAGAAGATAATACATCATAGAATCGGCAAGTTCAAGACACTTTTCCGACCCCCAACCCTCCAATGGCTTATCTGCCAGGCACAAGATGTATAAGACTCGAAAGTATGCATCCGAAGATACTACTACCCCTACCCTACCTCCCCTTCCCCTGATTCACTACTATATAGTCAAGTTCCCCACTTGGACATATTTAGACATATTGAATGATACATAACCTCATCAGCTATAGGATCCGTGCTTTTTTTTTGGGGAAGGAAATTCGATCACCACATTTACGCATTACGTCGGCGTTCCGATCCTCAGCTCCAGGCTCCTCGGTCCTCACCTCCTGGCCTCGTTCAGTCTCCAAATGGAGTCTCAGACCCGATCAACGCCCAAAGAAAGAAAAGGGATATTAAAAGCGTAAACATTTGCCCTCACGCATCACGATGAATAAGGTGAAAAATCAAATTAATCCATCTAGTCATTCCCACAAAGGAGAAGTACCAAATTAAAATAATTAAACACCATTGGCGAAAAGAGGGAGAGTTGGTACGGCCTAAGGTATAGTAGGCGGACGGACGTGCGTCATATTCACTAGCCGAGCTAGTTGTAGCTAGTGTAGCTAGTAGCTACCTATTTAATGAATAGTTGATAGAACTAACAACTCCTTTTCTTTTTGGCTTTGTCTTTTTTTTTTTTTTTTTTGATTATATCAATATTAGTAGTATGAATAGCCTCATTTCCGAATACAGATAAAAAAAACAACCAATTAAAAACAAAACTTGGCATTGAGGTTCAATTTTAGGAACGTCATTTATCCTCGCTCATCACTGTCAAAGCGGTCCATCCGGGCCGAAATACTTGATGTAACTACACCACAGGACTAAGTAGTATCTACAGGCTGGGAATAGTCCTCAGGATCAGGGATCTAGAACCAATGCCCGCCACCATCAAAACAGGATCACCAGAATCCTCACGAAAAGCACAAGAGGAAAAATGTTACTCATAAATCAGAAGTCTCGTTTTGAGCTCCCGAGAGCACGTTTTGGATAGGAAGAACGAAGAAAGTAAAAAAAAAAAAAAAAAAGTAGATATATAACGGCAGGTCCTAAAGTATTTGCTAATCCCCAAGAAATAAAACCCTAGAAAAATTCCAGCTTGTGTCCAGTCTTAGATTTTTATCTCTGTCCAATCCGTCCTTTCACCAAGCGATCAAACCACTCAGATATTCGTCTTCCTAAGCCGGGATTGCGCATCAAAAACACTCTATCATCAGGGGCGGCGAAGGGGAAAGAAAAAAAACTTCATCCTGACTCATGGTCCGGGCGAAGGTCCCTGACGAGTAGAGAGTTGATTTTCCCCAGGGCGGCGTTTGGCAGACTTCTCTAATGCTGCCCGTGCGCAAATCCGTTTCCTTCCACCTCCCCCAATCACAATTCCTATGGTCCATCTCACGGAACTCATCTGTCACAAGGGCCAGGCTCTCTTGAAGGCGCTTTATACTTAGCGGAGAAACACAAAGCCCTCCTCTTTCCCCCCTTCTTCCCCTTAATCCACAGTCGATTTGTGTTGATCATGCTCGAGTGCACGATTCGCCACTGCGCTGCTCCGCTTATGGGGCGGATCCTCTTTCAGGAGGGTTGACATGGCGTTCGGACTCGATTAGCGCTTGACGATGGACACTGTATTAAAACCACTAAAGTTAGGTTTGGAGATCCCAATATGACGGGTAAAAAGGAGAAGCACGGACCGATATCTTCATCTCCCAACTCGTGTGACAGACCGACACGCTGCGGTTGGTGCTTGACGGAGCGGCCATAGACGATAGCGTGCTTGAACTGGTCCTTGATCGTACGGTGGATAGCATTACACTGGTTTGCGCGTTAGAACGTCCAGACCCCTTCAGAAAGTGTTGATCATGTGGAGAATCCTTACGAAGTCCTCGACCGTGCAGGCGTTGGCTCTTAGAACGACGGGGGCCGTGTAGTCCGGCGTCTTGCCCTTGGGCTTGGTGTAGACCCGGCGCAGGTTGAGTTTCTCCCACATCATCTCCAGCAGCTCGTCGACGTTCCAACCGTGTTCAGAGCTAATGGGGCAGGCGTTGGGAATCCGGTACAGAAGGTCCAGCTCCTGGATCGTGATCGCATCGATCTTGTTCAGAGCATACACCACCGGAATGTAGGCGCGACTCTTGGCTTCCAGCACATCAATGAGATCATCGATGGTCGCATCGCATCTGATGGAAATGTCCGCGGAAGAGATCTTGTACTCGCTCATGACGGCTTTGATTTCCTGCGCTGGATCAGCGAATGCACTGTAAGCCCCCCAAAAACAAAGAAAGAGACTCACGTCGTTATCGATATGCGTCAAGGGAACCGTGCTCGTGATGGCAATACCACCCTTGTCCTTCTTCTTGAAAACAATGTTTGGGGGTTGCTTATTGATTCTGATGCCAAACCCTTCCAATTCGTTCTCAATGATCTTCTTGTCGTGCAGCGGCTTGTTGACGTCCAGCACGATGAAGATCAGATGGCAAGTCTTGGCCACGGCAATGACCTGACGACCACGACCCTTACCATCCTTGGCACCCTGAATGATACCAGGCAGATCGAGAATCTGAATCTTCGCACCGTTGTACATAACCTGTCCGGGCACAGTCGTCAAAGTCGTGAACTCGTAAGCGGCAGCTATATCACAAAGTCGTCCATTGTCAGCGATTATGTGCCTCGGCCCAGCGCGACCCTCGCTACCGTTATGTAGGGACAAAAAAAAACCAACCTTCCGAGTGCTGTCCCGTCAGTCTGCTCATCAGGGTACTCTTTCCGACGGAGGGGAAACCAATGAAGCCACTACCCCCGAACCATGTCAGCATAAGTCATTCGTCATTCCAACCACAAGTACTTCTTTCGATTCGATGGATAGATAGAACGTACACACTAGCAACACCGGTACGGGCAACATCGAAGCCGGCTGTAAATCATCGTGTCAGTGTCAAGCGCTTCTCTCCACGGGAAGGCATGGAAAACACCACGACTACGACTTACCACCACCGCCGCCACCACCTCCTCCGGTCGGAGTCAACAGCTCTCGCTTCAGCTTCGCAAGCTTAGCCTTCAATTGACCTGCACGGTCCTCGTCAGCGTCCGTCCCGACTTGGCTCCTGGAAATACCATCACATCCTTACCCAAGTGAAAGGCCGTAGCCTTGTTCTTCTGCGTCTTGGCCATCTGGAAGGGGAAACCGGTCAGTGTGCACATTCTGGCGCAGCGCTATCGTCAAGCGAGGGCAGAGGGGGCGCGAACCTCATCTTCGATTTGTTTGATCTAAACCGAGTACCAAGCGTTAGCAGAATGCATTGGGAGCTAGACGTTTGTCGTTCAAAAAGCGAGATCCTACCTTTTCCACGGTGGTCGACATTTTGGCGGTTGGTTACGAGTTTCACCCCTCGTATGCGGCACAATAATAGAAAATAAAAAAAGTGTAGAATGAAAAGGAACAAAGTCTATGCTTTTGGTGGAACTACCCGGTAAACGCCTGGCGCAAATCGACCGCTAATCAGCAGTGGGGTGGTCGACGAGAAAATGAAGCAAAAATCTTGGTGCAGAGGTTGGTTGGTACGTCAGTCGCAAAGAGTCCGACGGTGGTGGAGATACAATCTTTGAAATTGTGCCCGCCACTTCATTCGTCCGTTGGGACGTCACATGGAGGGGTTCCCGCCTCAGGCATCAGAAGGCATCAACCCTAGTTCGAATCGACCACTGAGGTCACTACCTATTGCTTGATGTTGTTCTACTTTCGTTCTAGCATACCGAACATCATCATAGTCTCGAGATTACTACTTGGAATGACAGATAGGAAACAACTTGTCTTGTAGAAGCATAGCTCACTGATATGAACTAAGACGCAAGCAGACCGATCATTACATGGAAGTACAGATTGACGCTGATCAATGCCACATAACGATAAGCACAAAACCAACTCCTCATGCAAAGGCATATGACAGTCTGAGACTTTGCACCTGCTTAAGAACTTACACTGCTATCAATGCACATGCATAATATCACGTGGGGTACTGTATAAATGCCAATGCTTAACAATAATGATCGCGAAGAAACAATATGCATGCTGCGAAAAGAAGTGATGAAGTAATCGAACAAGAACAGAATGTAGCGCAAGTCTGCGAGGAGAAGAAGAGGCTAAACTATGATTAACATTGCTAGAACGATGCTTAGAAAAGAACAACCGATCAATCATTAGTTCGTTCGCTTGGAGGCACTAGATCTGAAGTAGTCGATCTGCTGCTCAATATCCGTTCGAAAAGCAGATCTGGATGATCCACGACTTCGGACCGACGTATTCGAAGCTCTTCGAGGCCGGCTGAAGGGTTCTGTAAATTTCCAATATAAGTACGTCACTCGAACGAGTTGTAGAAAGGCATCGACCGTAATACCCACCCAGTCCTCCTGGCTTGGCACGCCTTCTGCTGAGGGTAGTAGATCGTTATCAGAGGGGGAGAGTTCGCCAGGTCGCCGATGGATGGGCGCTGGGGTGACGGGCAGGCTGGGCCGTTCTTGCTCGCTGGGGAAGTCCGTAATCCGCACATCCCTTGCTTCCGTGCTTGAAGAGTCTCCCGTGAGAACCTGAACCCGACCTTTGCGAGTCTGCTGCAGAGAAGATATATAGCGCTGAATTTCCGGGACCTCGTCCCAAGCATTGGAACGAGTATAATGTTCCCACGATTCAGCCGGCTCTTCAGAAGTCCATGTCCAAGTCGTGTCTCGCGTTTGTGACGATGGGCCAGGCTCCCCTTCTGTCGATTCCAGCAGAGACCGCGAGATAGTACTTATCGAGGTTTGGTCGTCTTCGGGAAATACACGGGTCGGTCTGGGAGCATTGTTTTCCCACGGGAACAGCTGCGCGAGCTTTTCTGGCTCGGGTTTCTTGCTGGGCACTTCATAATACATGTTCTTGGGCGCTTCCGGATAGGACGGGGGTGGTTGGAAAAGTTGCCGGTCCTCTGACATGGTATATGTTTTCGTCTCCAAAGCAAAGCCCTCTGGCTTGGTGTTGAGTGGTGGGGGCTCCCTACAGTATGTTAGTAACAGTTTTAAACAGCGGTGCTCGTCAAACAGGCGTACCTCGATGCATCCCATTCGGCTTTCGGAGGCTCAAATGTTTGTGTTTCTGGCTTGGGTGACGGTAGACCATGTTGCGGATTAGGAAGAGGTTCTGCTGGTTGCTGGTAACGGTGGGCTTGCTCTCGCCACGGCTTTGGCGAGGCCTCTGGCACACTGCCTTCTTGTCTCCGGAAAGCTGGTTCAGGTTGTATAGCAAAGGTGGTCTGATTAGAGTGCGGGTGGATATAAGCCGCTACATGCTCTTCTCCACGGACGTATTGCGGAACCGCACTCCGAAAAGGGGGGGGAACGTGTACATGTCTTTCCTGGTGCTCTACCCCGTGGTGACTTTCCCCGTGGTGACCTGCCCCGTGGTATCCTGTCTCGTGGTGGGTGTGCTCATGCTGCGCCTCCCAACGATGTGTCTGAGAGTGGGGTGTTTTCCCATGGTGCTCACCCCCGTGGTATCTGTCCTCGTGATGTCCTTCTTCCTCTACTGTACCATGCGCACCGTGGTATCCTGACTCATGATAGTATCCACCCGAATAAGGTGTGTCTTGATATACCGTGTCGTGTCGGCCCAGATTATGATGCGGTTCGTCATAATCTGGCTCCCCGTGCTGCCCAGTTGGGTGTTGCTCTGGACCCGGCAATGTACTTCCCTGAGGGGTTCCAGCTCCCGCTGACTCGATAGACTTCTGCTGAGCAACATGCGTATCCGAGCTCTCAGAAGTGCCATAGGATGCATTACGAGTAACCGAGCCAGTATTCTCAGTCGGCACTGCTTGTTGGGGTTCCGAGAAAGGCTCTGTGTCTTGTCCTGGGTGTGAGCTCTGCGAGTGCGGCGCATTGACATGCGCAACCGTAGTTGCAAGATCTTGAGCATGTGAATAATGTTGGCCATGTGTCAGCGCCGCCCTCTCTCCCGTCGAGCTTCCCAATTGAGTCTCCCTCGTAAAGAACCTTTTCCCCGTTACATCAACAGGTATCTGTACCGCCATTAGCTGTCAGGACCTTGAGCACGAAACTCAGATACTCACGCTCACAACCGGACGGTAGTGACCATCATACACAGCCCACCAACGTCCGAGCAATTTGTTGTACGGGGACTCCACGGGTTGCACCTGTCGGCCCATATTCCACGGCTTCTGAGCGCCGATGAAATGAATCATGCTGATAGTACTTTGGAAGTAGTTGTAGGCCGGAATGTACTGGTAGTTGGCGCTGGGAGTGCAATTATATGTGAAGCTCAGCCGATGCCAATCGCGAAAGTGCATGTTCAGCAACCCTTGATCGGCGCCATCAAAACTGATGCCTCGCTCCGCAAGCGCTCTCAGCGCAAAGTAGTCCTGCAAGTTGGGCCGAAGCACCATGACACCACTGTTGAAACAATCAGGCCAGCCCACATCTGGAGCGGCCGCAAAGTCGACATCCAGCTCCAGAAGCTCATTGGGAGCTCTAACCGCGACAATGTCGCAATCGAGGTAAACAATGCGCTTGAACTGTGTTTGGCGCCATAACTCGATCTTGGTGAAAGTGGCAATAAGGTCCGGTCGGTCCATAAGCCAAAGATTTGCCGGGGTCAGGTTGGTCAGCGGATTCACGGGAATTATTTCGTCGTACACGATCTAGGCCAAGGACTCTTTCAGCAACGTTCCATACGAAGCTATGGACGATCTTTGCATGAAAAGCTCAAAAAGGGAAGAAATGAAATTGATGTGCGAAACGCATACCTCAAGTTCCTGGATGGTGGCCGGCTGCAAGCTATCAGGCGTGTAGAGCGCAACGAGCTTGGCCTTTGACCCATTGTCGCGCAGGGAATGTGCAAGAACCACGGCACCTATAGGAAAGGAAGATCGGACAATCAGAGAGAACGACTCCAGCAGTATGTTAGAATAGAAGGCGCCATGAGAATACCCGGCAGATAATGATCACTCAACAGGAGCTAGAAGTCATAACGGACGATCAGTGAATTGGGTGACGGAAATGGAACGGGGAAGTACCTCCGTAGTAAGGGAACAAACATACCGTGCAGTACACAGCGCTTTCGGCGAGCGCCATTGCGGCTAGTGGTCAACGCCGCGCAGTCCGTAGGATGGACCAGCAATGAGGAAAAGTATGGCAACAAGAAAAAGCGACCAAATACAACGAGAACGAAGGTAGAAGAAGGGAAGAAGAAAAGACAAAGAAGCGGAAAATGGAGCTTGGGGCACGAGGTGCACCTTTCGAGGTGCGGCGTCGGGGGGGGGTCGTCCTCAGTAAGTTAGTCAACTCAGTTTAATTTAGTGGTTGGCTGGTTGGTTGGTAGGTACCGTACCGTAGTACGGGTGCGGAGGAGGAGAAGGAGGATAACGAGGATCCCCCTCACTCAAACGAAAGATTGACTGACGTTAGGGAGCCAAAGGAACCAAACCAACCCCGCCCGCCCGCATAGACGAACCTCGAACACTCAGACGGTTTCCCCGATTAGCATGCCGTGCGGGTGCTCTACCACCTACCACCACCACGCCATACTCCGTCGAATATTGGATCGAATGACAGAATACGAACTGAAATGAGAAATGCGGAATTGAACGAGTGTAGGATCAAGTAGAAACGATCGGGATCACTTAAAGCTGCACTGGGCGTGCTGAGGATGCGCAAAGACCAGAAAAGAGACAGGTACGGAGTACGTAGTTGGAGATGGAGAAGACGGACGGGGGCGGGAAAGTGGGAAGTGGGAACAGGGAATAATAGACTAGGAACAGCACTAAAGCTCACCTGAGTGCTCAGCTCAGCGCAGCTTTAGCTGCACGCGGCCGAGAGTCACTTTCCTCGTTCTCTCACCCTCTCAACCTTTTTTTTCGCTCTCCCTCTTGTTCTACTATACTACTCTCTGAGTTAGTGCCTTCAAACCCCCGCTCACGCCCAGCCCTGACACGGTACCAGTTTGACACCAAGCCCCTTTAATCAATTCCTAATCATAACAATAATAGTCATAATCTTAGATCTCGTTTTTGATCCTGTCAGCGCCGGGAAGAATTCTGTGTAGCACAGACCTAGAACCTCAATCTCGAAATCTCAATTGACTTTCCTTTCCGCACCCCCTTGCAGCACCTTGTTCTTGGTTAGATGCAGGTTTCCCCCGAGTTCGGAAGCTTTCTTGTACGAAGCCCCCGTGCAATTCGTAAAAAATAGACAGATGCGAAGTAACCATGCGGAAGAAGGTTCAGACTACACTAGTCTGATTATAGGTGTATAGACCGGAGCCTAGATTAATTCCAGTCTATTTCAGCCAATGCCTAGCGACAGATAAGCCAAGCAAACCAGAGGTTCAAATATCGATCATGGACCCGCTTCAGTAAAGGTTGTCGAATTATCCATGTCTATTTGCGGGCAGTCACCACCGCCTTGGGAGAACACTTCTGCAAAACAACTCCAATATCCTCCTTCTCACCCTTCACAGTCCATTCAATCGCCTTCTCCAAGGCAAGCTGGCCTTGACGCTCCAATGGGGTGAAGTGGCCCAGACCCGGCACCACGATAACTTGGCTGTCTCGCACGAGGTAGTCTGCAATCCCATCCAGGCACAAGGCAGGCTCCAAGGCCATGTCGGCCTTTCCCCAAATGACGGTTGCACTAGCTTTCAGGGACCCCTTGGGTCCATCGGCAAACAGACCAGCACCGCTGCTGGTGCGGTGGGCCGCCTTCGCGTCTTCGATGCCGTGAAGGTGCGCGATCGTCTCAATTGACTTGTTCCAGCGCGCGAACGCTGTGTTATCCCGGTAGTAGGCGGTCATATGCTGAAAGGTCAATTGCCCGCGGTCTTCTTTCATGAACGCAGGATACGTGTCGCCCTCCGCGGTTTGGGTCTGGCATTCCGCCACGGACGGGCCTACAGTGCTGGCCATGCACTCTGCGGCATCCCGAGGGGAGAACTCCTGTTGACCGTACGATGCGCGGTGTATAAGCTTTAGGAACGAGTAGTTGCCGCCTCGGCCCAGATACCGAACCAGGGACAAGGGCAGTTTCATAGCAAAGATGTATCCGGAGCGAAGCAACTGTCGACCAACAGGCTGCAGAGTCTGGGCCACTTTCCAAAGTGTCGCGCGAGAGTGTATCGGGTCGCGCAGTGCTGTCTTGAGCATCTTAAGGGAGGAAGAAAGTCGGCGGGCAATGTTCGCCCGGGTGAGACCAGGCTACATGCTGTTAGCTCGAATGAAAATGCGACCTATTCAAGGGGGGGACGTACAATTGGTCCATTCGTCAGAATAAACCGATCCGCCAGTTGAGGAGCTTCAGATGCCAGTCGGGTCGAAAGCACACAACCCCAGTCATGTCCGACAATAATAACTTTACGCTGCCGCACCGCGGTCTCCGTGTCAGCCCCGTACTTGGCCCGAATCGCAATCACGAACTCGGTCAGGTTCTCGAGCACTTTCGTTGCTGAGTATCGATCAAGCCGATCGCTCCCACCATAGCCGGGCAAGTCGACCGCTACTAGAGTGGCCGCATGTTGAAGAGCAGGTGAGGCGAGAAGATGGCGCCAGATGGCCCAGCTATCGGGGAACCCGTGGATGAACACAACCAGCGGCTTCTGTGGGTCGGTGGCGGTCTGCTGTCCGGGCCCGTCATTGCAGACATAGTGGAATTTGAACCCGCTCGGCAGAGTATAGATATGGTGACGGAGGCCTGAGAAGCTCTGTGAAAGGTCCCAGAGTCGATTGCGAGCTGTGATGGAGGCGAAGATACGCAGTGAGCATCGCGCAAGACGAGTGAGTCTTCAAGACGAGGCTGTTATTAGGTATCACTTACCAATTTGCAGTTCGAGGGTCTCCTTCTCCGTGGTTTTCCTGAAAAAATAGCCTTTGCTTACAGCACGGAATCCATAGAGCCCAAGACTGAAAAGCCCGTAAAGGAAGATCACACTTGATCCCACGAATCCGAGTATCGATGCCATGATGACTGACTGAAGTGTGACTTTGGTCTGCCCAGGCGGGCTTCAGATGGAGGGCTGGAACAATTGTTGTACAGCGACTATTCGAGCAAAGGGGAAAAGCTCGAGGTAAAGGGGAGAAGAAGTCACCGTCCGATGGTAAAAGTAGATAAGGGCGATCGAAGGAGAAAAAGCTCCGAGGTAACTAATCGCAGCAGAAGGGAAAAAAGACCCTACGAAGCTCCTAATCTTACTACTCTAGTAGTCTAACGGGCACTAAATGAACCACCCGTGGATAGGCGGTTTAGGCAGTGTCCGCCACTGCCAGTTTTGGTGCGCCGTTGACCCGCCGTTGCCCACTTCGAACCCGCCCACATGTGATTTTCAATGGAAAAAGTTGCAATGCACTACGTAATAATCGCCGGCTCCCCCGGGGCTTGTTTCACTCGGGATGCACCACCTTTTTGCATTGCAGAGCGGATAACCCACATATGAAGGGGAAGCTCCATGTACACTGATGAAGCCATTGTATGCTTATATCTCCCGCAGATTAGAAGACAAGCACGAGGGACAGTTCATTTCTTCGTAGGGACTCTATTAAAAACACTTGGGGATATCATAAGACAGATGAGTACCGTACATCAAAGCATAAAATGGCATGAGTGTATCATAATCAAAGGACACACGCATGTTACAGCGAGAACCCCAGGCTCTCCCTATTGTCATCGACAAGACGTCCATACCTAAAATCACACCTCAAGGTCAGGAGCTGCCAATGCACACGCAACGAGGGACGTACTTACTCTAGCAATAATCGGAAGAACCAGACTTCCATGTCGTCCGAGCGAAGAGCTCTATGCGCCCATTCATGGCTGGTTTGAGCGATCTTCGAGGCTGTGAGTTTTCCGTCCTCATCTTCGACGAAGTAACGGACAGCTTCCAAATAATCGTCTCCGGTTAACCGCAATGGAACATAATGAACCCAAGGCTTGAGCCATTCATCGTGCCATTCGCGAAATATTGAGATCTTATATACCAAGCTCTTGCTTCGTAGGAAGGCATAGAAACGGCCGCTAAAGGCATTGCCATCGATGTCAAGCAAGTGTCGATAGGCCCATGCATCCTGCTGGTCAACGGGTTCTGCAACTCCAAAGTATTCCTTTTGCGCTGCGCAGTCTTCCGCGTCACATTGTCCAATGTACGTAAATTGAATGTCGAATAAGTCGTCCAGGGATGATCGATCGACCTCGGTGGATGTCCACTGGCTATCCTCTTGCTTAGCGAGTACCTTAGCGGTGTCCCGAGCAATGACTTTGCGCACGAACAGCTGCCGGTGTTGACGCCGCCAGCCGCCAGCTCGGGAATATCCTCCTGTGGTAGATCCTCTCCAATACATCTTATCCAGTTTGGCTTCCCAGTTGACGTCCCGGGCAGCCTCGTAAGGCACCTTGTCCGCATAGTACCAGGGACTTGGATAGAGTATGTCTTGGTAGCTGGAGATTTTGCTCTGGGAAAAGACAGGAAACAGATCATGAACGACCTCGAACGTGTTGGGCCGATCAAAGAACCCGTACGTATACTTTAGAGAAGGGGTGTTGCAGATGTCCGAGAAGGCGGTCGTGTTCGCGATGAATCCTAGCTCGCCCTGAGCGTAGGAGTCAATATTATCCAATGGCTCTTCGTCAAGCGACCGGACGGGAGAGTCGACCGGGCATGATGATCGCGAATAACTCCAGGTTGACTGATGCGAGAACCGACTGAAACGCGTGGTGCGCACCTCATCGATCCGGTCGCCTTTGTTCATGTCCGCAGGTCGATCGGACCATGCATTCTTCGGCGTTTCAGTAAGGGACGCACCTGGAATAGCATGCTCTCGGCCAGCCGTAACCAGCCGCTGAAGGTCCTCATTCGGGACAATTACTCGTGGTTCGTCATGGGCATTAAAGACAAGATCCATGTCAGGTAAGTACTCTGCAAAACTCTTGATCATTTGCACCGTAGCACTCCGCTGCCATTTCTGTTCACCGGTTCCTCCCTCGGCCAGCGTAACAGTCCCATTCCGAATCAAGACCCCGATCATGGAGTTGTCGAAGCCGAGGGTTTCGCGGGCCCGCCCACGGATAGTCTTCGGGTTCAAGGCCCAGAACGGGAGGAGGGAGTGGTAAATGGTATCATACTCATCGATCAATTGGACCCCCTTGGATTGCGCCAAATGAAACCATTTGTCGAAGTGCGGTGGAGGGTGCATTCCATAGCGGCGGCGGTATTCTTTGACAGCCTGGGACAGAGTTTTGGATTGGCGGGACCGTACTTGGTCCCATTCTTGATCTGCATCCTCGCTTAATGCAGCGATCGGATGCTTCCCTGCAGGCGTTGAGGCTTTGTGATACGTTGATTGCTGAAAAAGCTGCTCGTTTGGCGGGATCTCGGGACGTTGCAAATTGGCTGATGGACGGGGATCAGGCAAGGGCGAAAAGCTCGATGTGTCTGGAGAGGAATTGGAGCTTCGTACGAAGATTAGAGCGATTGAAACAAGGATGAAAGTTCCTAGCCAGACTACCAGCCGTTGAGATCGCATTCTGCTGTTAGTATTTATTAGATGTCGTGCAATGAAGGACGACCTCAGCTTTGGCTGATACCCAGCTGTGGCTTTGTTTGTCTAATGTCAACACTGCGGGGAAGTAGATGGCAATTTAGCGTAGTGTCAACACACTTGTTCACAGCTAGATGTTGCCCAGTTGAAATCGTTGAGACACAGACAAAAGGCGGATCCAGACAGTATAAGACTATGATAGGTATACTTTGGGGGAGACTTCAACTCAAGCATAATCAAATCGGTAAACGCCAGAAAACGAGCGTTGGCAAGGTATTATGGGTACTGGTAGTACTAATACTAGGTACAGGCGGTCCCTCGGGCAATCAAGTTCAAGGCTGGAGCACAGGCCAATCAAGATTAGGTAGGCCCGGCCCATCGGTTGCCCGTACAATCAAGGCGAGCCCAGATCTTGTTTTTAATCTTGTTCTAAGAATTAGGAATACTAGGTAGTAGGTCGGTATATATTATCTCCATCCTACAGCCTTGTCATTATCAAGTTTCTGCGACAAATGCTTTCTCTGTCATTCCTTTTCTTCAAAGGATTCGGTCTCTTTTCACCTACAGTGTGGACAGGAGTTTCCTGGAGCCCATGTGTTGGAATCGTGCCTCTGTCACTGGCACAAAAGGCAGGAGCAAGCTTCTCACGATCAATATCCAGATGAAAGGTAGAGGGAAGTTAAATAAGAGACTCGCTCACGAAGTAAAAGCCCGGCCATGCAGCCTTTGTTGCTATTTGGTGACTTGCCCACCCCCCCCTTTGACCCTCACAACCTTCGAAAGACCAGTTTGAACGATGGGGAAAGCGCTCGCTTAAACCCGTACTACAAATCAATTCCACCACCATGGTGCTTCACAGCTAGACGAAGCTGGATCAAGGACATATATGATGTACGCACACACGTTCGAGACCCAGCTTACCATGAGTACATGGCCAATACTCAGAGCACAAGTCCACAACCCACATTAGCCATACTCCCCACCAAGCCCTCAATCATATACATCCTGGCCCACTCCACATGCGAATACGCTGCAATCCCCAGTATCACTACCAAGCCAACATGCACCGCCCAGAAGACCTGCTGTCGCATCTTAGCCGATCCAGATCCGCTCCTCAAGCTCAGGGCCCACCGAGGCTTCACGGCTGGACGAGCAAACAGCACCACGGATGTGACCGCAATCACGCCCAGAATTCCCCACTGGACGTCTGCATCGCGGATGCGCTTCAGAAACAAGACCCCGAAGTCCGGGTGGCTGGATTGCAGAAAGAAAGAGTCGTAGAGAAGGGCATGGCCAAATAGTAGGGGTGCAATAACCAGCCGACCAAAGAGTCGATGATAGGCATTGATGGTGGGCTGAGGGATGGCGGTAAGCACGGAAATAAGAGAAGGGGAAGCCGGCTTGGAGGTGAGATAAAGGGGTGGCGACATCAAAACCTGGAAAGGGAACTGAGAGAGAGCGACATGTCCGAGGGACTTGGTAAGGTGAAGGTAGTCTGGAGACTAGTTAGTTGCAATTCGTTGATATATTTTGGATTGTGTATCCATGTTGTGATATTCCTAAGCGGCGGGAATACTATCCGCTGAGCGACAAATCACAGGTTCGGTAATGGTAATATCACGGATGTAGCTTCAAACTATAGACATAGCATAGACAAGAGGAAACGGTCATACCTTCACCAGAATTCCATATGCAGAGACTCAAGAGCCAAACTAGCCACACTGAGCAGACTAGGTACTGTCGCCGAGTCTCAATCCATCCCACAAAGGGGGGAGAGTCCAACCAAGACTTGGGTGAAGGCTTGCGTCGATTGGGCTTGGAGGGCTCGGATCCAGGCTGAGTTGCCCATACATACAACCGCACCAGAACAATGACTATTAGCATTGAGTATTGAGCGTAAGACCCCCGTAGGTCTAGGACCTCGCGACGCTGCTCCTTCTCTGCATCGGAGAGAGTGATAAAATGCCAGGGCCAGGAGAGAGTCATGGTGTCGACACCGCAATGGGTAAAGGACAAGGGGTGGAATTGAGGAGTAGGCAATCGAACAACGGTCATAAAGCAGCTTGCTCTTCTGCGCTGAAGAGGACTCCCACACGTGAATGTGGTTTGCAAAATAAACCGATGCCTGTCTAATCGCGCCATCGGCTTTACGGAAATACACGTGGAATCACATGATTTATAGGACACCGAGCTTGATTACGCCCCTATCATCCATCCACTTCACTGCCTACCGGGCTCAGACAGCAAGGTCCATGATACGGAACCAGAGTAGAGAAAAAAAAGTACCGGGATCTGATTTTGCAGGATTATTGATCGTCGACCAAGAAGACTCTACAGGGAGAACGCCATCAAGCATTTCATACCAGCCAGACTCTTCTGACTGTTTCTAAGTTGGACAAAAACTGGAATTCCACCCAAATCCGCGCGAGTG